TGTTGATCAAGTTTAGGGTGTGATACAGTATATTTAATGATTAACTAACACTACTGATCAAGTTTAGGGGTGTGATACAGTATATGTAATGATTAACTAACAGTGTTGATCAAGTTTAATTCACACTGCTGATAGTGTCGAGATTCTGAAGTACACTTCTGTAAGTTGAAACTTGTTTTTCAAGTCTCACTTTAAATGTTAAGTTTCTACTCTCGTGTCCTCGTACCGCAGTAATGAATGGTTTCTTGTATCGCCACCTGGCGTGTGTACTGATGTGACGGTGCGCAGCTCTAGTAAGAACCTGTGCTGTATGACTGTACGTGAATTTTTAATGTACAAAAAAAACAGAGTTTATTTAACTTTTTACTAACAAACTGGGGGAATTTTACGACCCCTTTATGAAATCCACCTAACAACCGGCGTAAACACACTTTCATTTTAACGTGAAAGCAGACGAATAAAAATATTGCCTGAGGCGTCTGCGCCAGAGTATGTGCGTGGAGCCGGGTGCGCTGTAATTACAGTAGAAAGATGGCGACCGTGTATTGAGGTGATGCGTCTTTGTCCATTCGCAGCCTTTGATTCCGATAAAAAATTCAATCAACGACAGCTAGGAAACCACCCTAGCAGGTAAAACCGGTCGATGAACTGATCCCTACATTAAGCCGGCTACACAATGGAGAACTTGGCCGAGCTGGACGGCAACGAATCGACAGAACCCGTAGAGTCAGAGCCTGTGATCGAGCCAACTGAACTGTTGGCTCCCCACCCTTCAGACGGCGAGGACGAAGTAGTAAGTTCTAGTATGCTAGACGCGGCCCTTAGTGTGTACCCCTATCATTCCTTGACAGGAAGAATGTCCCCAGGTTTCTCATCCGGTAGTAGTTATGCTACTCTGACCCCACTTCAGCCATTACCTCCGATCTCTACCATGACTGACAAGTTTAACCATTACAGTCATGCGGGCGGCAGCTTTACTTTACTGCAAGGAATGACTATGAGCAGTTATCAGTACGACAAATTGGGTGGTATGACCGTGATGAATATCAGCCCCACACTAGGAGCAGCACACCCATCACCCGTCACTATAGGGAACACCAACGGGTTTGGTCCCCTAGCTAGTCATGTGGGCATTCCCTCTCCAACTTACCAGCAGAATGGCCGCGAATCTCCAGAAAAGGGAATGTCTAATAATGGATACGACACCTACAGTTTGCGAGACCATACACGAAATTTAGAATCCCCTCAGAGTCCCTCTGTAAGTTTACATTCCTCCACAACTCTTATGCCAACTTTGAATGGCTTGAATGCTCCAGAAACTCCTCCATCAGACCAATTGACCGACCCGGTGACCTCACCTGAAGAGGAAGACACTAAGCCTGTGACTGTAGCGGTCTTCACCTCAACTTCTGGTGGGGGGATAACGTTTTCACAACCTCTTGTGGCTATTGCAACTGTAAACGTGACTAACTGCGAAGAAAGCCTAACGACGTCGGTCCCCATCAAAACTTCGGAGGTTCCTGCTACCTCCCATTCCAAGACCCCCATTACAGAAGATATGGAGGAAATTAACACCAAAGAGGTAGCTCAGAGAATAAGTGCTGAACTAAAACGCTATAGTATCCCCCAAGCCATCTTCGCTCAACGTGTACTGTGTCGGTCACAAGGAACTCTCTCTGACCTTCTGCGTAACCCCAAGCCTTGGAGCAAGCTGAAGTCCGGCAGGGAGACATTCCGAAGGATGTATACGTGGTTGAAAGAACCGGAATTCCAGAGAATGTCGGCTCTTAGACTGGCAGGTTTGTCTAGCTTTTTATGTTTTCTTAATATATATCACCTTATTATCAGCCACAGTATCTTGCCCCCTGTAATACATGTTTCCCTGCTAAGCAGTTCTGTAGTACAAAAAAAAAGACATATTTAGAAATCTTGTCAGAATTCATATTTAGGACTATGTACGTCATCATTAACAAATAAGAATGTGTGGGAACATTTTTGTTATATGCATCTATGTTTATTATCTGTGTGAGGTTTTAAACGTATATATATATATATAGTGACTGAGAGTATAAAGCAACGAAGCACCCACCGCCTCCAGAAAAAATTCTCGGATTCGTTTTAAATCACGCGCTGTTGTTGAATAACACAATACTTATTATCAGAATATTTAGATCGGAGATAGAAAAATAAATTGAACGTTGTATTATCGCAACACAGAATGTAGTAACGCACGTGGCCAATCCCTGAAATGTTTTTGAGGAATCTGATACAACTGTGCAGATATTTTGACAATTATATTTTTATCTTTTATAAAACTAATACACGGATCTGGAAATATAGAGCTATTTCTCAAACATATTGTATTGTTCTATAGCCCCCCCCCTAATGGCACAGCGGTATGTCTGCGGACTTACTACGCTAGCTCTGCCCACCACGGGTATCGAAACCCGGATTACAATGGGCTATCTGTAGTAGCTTTGTACTTAATTACAAACATATTGTATTGTTCTATAGGCCCCTAGTGGCACAGCGGTATGTCTGCGGACTTACAACGCTAGAATCCGGGTTTCGATACCCGTGGTGAGCAGAGTACAGATAGCCCATTGTGTAGCTTTGTACTTAATTACAAACATATTGTATTGTTCTGTAGAATTAAAGTTTTTATTATACTAAGCTGCTAGTTGTAACTTGCTAACAGTTTGTGTTACTCCTGTTTTCAGTATGCATTCCAAATCTTTAATATAAGAAACTTTATTTTCCACCGGTGGGTTACCGGTAACTTTACTCGGTAGATAGTTAGAAGATATAGCCCATTGTATAGCTTTACGCTAAAACAAATAATTTAAATATATTAAATATACTGTGTTTATGCGTATAGAATTCTATACATTTTTCTCAGAAAATATTTTTGGTGTCCCTAGTGAAACATTAGTGTACGTTTTTGTTTTTTTAGAGTCCCTAGTAGAACACTGATGTACACATTTATTTTTAGTGTCCCTAGTAAAACACTGATGTACGTGTTTATATTTTTAGTGTCTGGAGTAAGAAATTGGTTTACGTTTGTTTTTACTGTCCCTAGTAGAACATTGGTCTACATATTTATTTTTTAGTGTTTCGAGAAAAACATTGCTGTATATGTGTTTTAATGTCCCTAGTAAAACATTGGTGTACACATTTATATTTTAAGTGTCCCTAGTAAAACACTGATGTACGTGTTTATATTTTTAGTGTCTGGAGTAAAACGTTGGTGTATGTGTTTATATTTTAGTGTCCTGAGTAAAACATTGGTGTGCATGTTTATTTTTAGTGTCCCTAGGAGAAAACTGACGCAATTTTTTGGCTTTAGAATGTTTAAAAAACTTTCAGTTTTCACCCCTCTCCTTACTTTTGTTAGAGGTTTTCACACATAACCTGCATCAACCTTTGTTAGAGGTTTTCACACATAACCTGCATCAACTTTTTGTAAGTGGTTTTCACACATAACCTGCATCAACTTTTTGTTAGTGGTTTTCACACATAACCTGCATCAACGTTTTGTTAGTGGTTTTCACACATAACCTGCAGCAACTTTTGGCAGAGGTTTTCACACATAACCAGCATCAATGTGATTTCTTTTTAACAGCTTATATCTGAATTTTTATGTAAATATTCGCATTGGTTGCTTGTCCAGTCACACGTTCCTCCTGATGAATGTAAGCCACGTTTCATAGGTCATCGTAATATTAATTTTTATTTAGGAATGTGAACTGCTGACAATCTTATATTGCCGAATATAAATCATATATTACTATGTTTACAGGAACAACGTTTACAAGAGAACGTTTTTTAAGTCCCAAGAAAGTAAGCATGTGTATAAAATGAATATATGTTAACAGTCAATTTGGTCATAAAGCACGTTAAGTTCAACTTTTGCTGATGTAGAAATCCTCTAGAGAAACTTACCTACCAGCTATTATATATATAAATGTAATTAATCATGGAAACTGCGAAAAAAATTGTATGAAAGGCAAATACTACGAGACTGCCACATTTTTATGGTGTTAGAACGAACAGTAACAGATTAAGTTCACGTGCTGATAGCTTGGACTGTGATTGGTTGTAATTTAACCAATCAGAAAGTGCCACACCAATATAAAGCTTATAAAAGTACAGAAGGTCATACTATGCCCAGTAGTAGTAGTAATAGTTTTCCAGTCATGGCTCCCAGGACTGAAATGCCACATCACAAACGTGTATAAATCGAAGTTTTGTTTAATCAATGATACTATATGCGAAACTTTGCTGCAAGACTCCCTGTTTCAGTAGGAGCTGCATACAAAGCTCTGAAGAGGGTACGAGAAACTGGCACTGTTAATAATAGAAATGGCCGAGGTAGACAACCGAAACTCTTAAAGCAACGTCTCTGGGAATGTTATTTAAGAAATACACTGTGGTAAATTACAAATTGTGTCAACGATTTTGCTGTAAACGAAGAGTAAGATACACATTAACACGGGGTAATCTCAATGGATGACTAATGAAATAACCGCTATCGAAAAAAGAAAACGAAACCAAAAGGTTAAAAAGACATAAACAGTTTGTTTGTTTTAGAACAAAGCCACGTTGGGATAGCTACTATGTTCATGGAGAATCGAACCCCGGATTTTATCGTTGTAAGTCTGCAGGTTTATCGCTGTCCCTCTCGGTGACACCACGTACAGGGGACAGCTAGAGACGTGTTAGTTATAGATAGATCCAAATTCGAATCATTCGGCAACATTCAACGACAGTTTGTTCGATGGTGGAGAAGATAACAGTACAATACTCAATGTAAATCACCTACGGTGAAGCATGGTAGAGAAGCAGTACATGTGTGAGGCTGCATCTCAGCCAATGATGTTCATGATTTTCACAAAAATTGATGGCACCCTAACTGCTGACAAGTACATTTGACTTCTGATCTATCAGAGTATAGCTCATCGGGTTGGGATTTACCTTCCAGCATAACAATGGTCCAAAGCATTCAAAAGAACGTGGTGAAATGATATTTTGACATTAAAAGAGGCCGTTTGAACACTAAACGTTTGTCTTGGACTGCACAACGTCATAACACCAGTATTTTTGATGACGTAGGAACTTATATAAAACCTGAGAAGGTCAAAAGGTAACCAAACAACTTGGTTAAATTGTGGGAAGTAATACAGGCCATTCAAGGAAATATTTCACAAACATACGTTAATGAACTGTATGGAAAACTCTGCGTAAAGCAAAGAGCTCACATACAAAATGGTAATGGATTGAACAAGTTATTCATTTTCTGGGTTTCATTCATAATGCCTGGTTTTTTGTCACTAGTAAATACACCATACTGTTACAATTGCTCTTTGTTTATGACTCGTGTATGTGCATCACCTGTGTTTCTACAATCATTTGAATTCTTGTACATATGTATGTGGCCGCGTAATCCTTACATACCACATAAATATAATTGTGGGAAATTATACTTTATAGCTTAATCTGGTTCCCACAGTTGTTGTCTGGCGTAGTTGGTAATATAAATAGAGTTTCAATAATTACTATGTCTGCCGTATCCCAGCCGACTTGATGAGTCGTGGTTTTGAGCGAAAGGCCTTGTGGGCACTTTATGTTGTAGATATAACGAGTTTGACATGTTATTGTACACTCTGACATGTTATTGTACACTCTAACATGTTATTGTACATTCTGACATGTTATTGTACACTCTAACATGTTATTGTACATTCTGACATGTTATTGTACATTCTGGCATGTTATTGTACACTCTGGCATGTTATTGTACACTCTAACATGTTATTACACATTCTGGGTACAATAACATGCCAGAGTGTACAATAACATGCCAGAATGTACAATAACATGTCAGAATGTACAATAACATGTTAGAGTGTACAATAACATGTCAGAGTGTACAATAACATGACTCTAACATGTTATTGTACATTCTGACATGTTATTGTACACTCTGGCATGTTATTGTACACTCTAACATGTTATTGTACATTCTGACATGTTATTGTACACTCTGGCATGTTATTGTACACTCTAACATGTTATTGTACATTCTGACATGTTATTGTACATTCTGGCATGTTATTGTACACTCTAACATGTTATTGTACATTCTGACATGTTATTGTACATTCTGGCATGTTATTGTACACTCTGGCATGTTATTGTACACTCTCATGTTATTGTACATTCTAACATGTTATTACACCGAGTTCACCTTTCGATATTTTGTTGATATTTGAGAGAATGAAATACAGATATTAAACGTTTAAATTTCTTTACAGTTCCAAAAGCACTTTCCAGCAAAGTATGTATATATACATATGTACGATGTTTATAGTCAACACGTCATAAATACACCTGTTACTAATGTGTTCATATATAGGTAAGTATAATACATATTTGTAGTTGGTATGTTCCAAATACACGTTTCTACAGTATGTTTGTTTTTAATTGGCTGAAATAGAATAACTAAAGTATTAAGTCGTCAAGAAATTAATGTCGCGTTTTGGAACACTTTCATTAACAACCCCCCCAAAAAACGTACATCACGTATAATAGTTAAATGAAACGCCTAAACGTCACGTTAGTATAGCCTATATAATGTGTAAAGTTTAATATACTCTAATCCCTTATAGTGATGGCACACGACAGAGACACACATTCGGCGTGTAATGCTGTTTGAATACAAGGAGGGAAACAACGCCTCTGCAGCTACAAAGAATATCGAAGCTTATGGAAATGTTTTGAACGTTCGTAAGTGTTAACG